TGAGGATAAAAAAAGATTAGGTGATAAAAGATTGAATCGATTGGAGGGGGGAGTATGGGGAGGTAAAAAGTTTCAATATTTGGGAGGGGCTTTTGTCAGCAGATGGGTCTTGAAAGATAGGTAAATCATAGAATTGATGGGGGAAAAAAGGTGTGGTGCATTGGGAGTCTGGGGGACAAAGAATTTTTCCCCTTGGAGGCAAAGAGGGGAATGTAAGAGAAAATTTTTTTACACGCTCTTATATGGGTGTGAAGCATGGGTGATAAATGTTTGCAGCGGGAAAAAGGCTGGAGGCGTGGAATGTCTTCTGGGGGCAATGTGGGTGTGAATTAAGCGGGAAAATTTCGTAGTTTGGAATTTTGGAGGGGTGGGGATTACCAAAACTGTTGCCCCACGGGCTGAGGAAGGGTTGTTGGGGGGTTCGGACTGTAGGAGGGGGAGCAAACAGAATGACTTCAAGAGTGTATCGTCGTAGGGAAGGAAGGGCGGGGTAGGGTCGGCTGGGGAAGGTTGGAGGGAGGGGGCAAAGGAGGTTTTGTGTGGGGGGCTTGGCTCCAGCGGGCATGCGGAGGGTTTGTAGGAGTAAATGGAGCAAATGGTTTTTAATACTTGACGTGCTGTTGGAGTGTGAGCAAAAGTAAATTTATGGGGTTCAGGGGAAACCCGGCGGGCCCGGATTTGGTCTGGAGATGGGAGTACAGTCCCTTTGCACTCTGAAGGAGGGGTGTTAATGTTGCAGTTTTAAAACTGTGTGTAAAGCACCCTTCTGGCAAGACAGTGATGGAGTGAATGATGGTGAAAGTTTTTCTTTTTCGGGCCACCCTGCCCTTGGTGGGAATTTCGGCAGTGTGATAATAAAAAATAATAATAAAAAAATATACTAAAAAGAATAAGAAGAAAATTTCAAAGTGGGAAGTCTGAATGTGCGTGGATGTTGTGCAGATGATGGAAAGAGATGATTGTGGATGATTTATGAATGAGAAGAAGCTGGATGTCCTGGCTTTAAGTGAAACAAAGCTGAAGGGGGTGGGAGAGTTTCAGTGGAGAGGAATAAATGGGATTGGGGTCAGGGGTTTCAAATAGAGTTAGAGCTAAAAAGGGAAAGTAGAAATTTTAATGTTAAAGGATAAGCTATGGCAGGAAAGAGGGACTATAAATGTATTAATTCGGGATTATGTGGGGTTTAAAATAAAGTTTTGGAGTGAAAAGGGGGTTTTATATAAGCGTGTATGCCCTGGAGAAGAGAGAATTTGTAGAGGAGAGAGAGAGATTTTGAGAAATGTTGAGTGAATGCGTGGGGATTTTTGAATCAAGTGTGAGAGTAATGGTGGTTGGGGATTTCAATGCTAAAGTGGGTAAAAATGTTATGGAGGGAGTAGTAGGTAAATTGGGGTGCCAGGGGTAAATGTAAATGGGAAGGCCTTTAATTGAGCTATTTTGTAGGAAAGAGATTTGGAAAATAAGTAATACATATTTTATGAAAAAGAGGATAATAAATTTTACAAGGTTATGATGTAGCACGTATAAAAAGTAGTTTATTAGATTATGTATTGGTGGATAAAAGGTTGTGGGTAGGCTCCAGGATGTACATGTTTATAGAGGGGCAACTGATATATCGGATCTATTTAGTTGTAGCTACAGTTTTGAGTAAGGGTGTTTAGATGGGAAAAGAGGAAGGTGGCAACAAGTAAGAGGGAGGTGAAAAATGTATACAACTAAGGGAGGAGGAAGTTCGGGTGGATTTTAAGCGACTATTGGGGAGAAAGGTGGGCTAGTTCAAAGGGTGAGTAGTGGGGGGGTTGAAGAGGGGGTTTGGAATAGTTTTAAAAATGCAGTATTAGAATGTGGGGGAGATGTTTGTGGTTTAGGAGGTGGGGGAGGAGGAAAGAGGAGTGTGATTGGTGGAATGATGAAGTAAAGGGTGTGATAAAAGAGGGAAAAAAAGGTAGCTTACGAGAGGTTTTTACAAAGCAGAAGTGTTATAAGAAGAGCAGAGTATATGGAGAGTAAAAGAAAGGTGAAGAGAGTGGTGAGAGAGTGCAAAAGGAGAGCAGATGAAAGAGTTGGAGAGGCACTGTCAAGAAATTTTAATGAAAATAAGAAAAAATTTTGGAGTTGAACAAGTTAAGAAAGCCTTGGGAAAGTATGGATTTGTCAGTTAAAACAGAGTAGGGGAGTTAGTAGATGGGGAGATGGAGGTATTAGGTAGATGGCGAGAATTAATTTTGAGGAATTTTTTTCTTTTAAATGTTAAGGAAGAAACAGAGGCAGTAATTTCATGCACTGGTCAGGGAGGTATACCATCTTTTAGGAGTGAAGAAGAGCAGAATGTAAGTGTGGGGGAGGTACGTGAGGCATTACGTAAAATGAAAGGGGGTAAAGCAGCTGGAACTGATGGGATCATGACAGAAATGTTAAAAGCAGGGGGGGATATAGTGTTGGAGTGGTTGGTACTTTTGTTTAATAAATGTATGAAAGAGGGGAAGGTACCTAGGGATTGGCAGAGAGCATGTATAGTCCCTTTTATAAAGGGAAAGGGGACAAAAGAGACTGTAAAAATTATAGAGGAATAAGTTTACTGAGTAATACCAGGAAAAGTGTACGGTTTGGGTTATAATTGAAAGAATTAGAGGTAAGACAGAATGTAGGATTGCGGATGAGCAAGGACGTTTCAGAGTGGGTAGGGGATGTGTATTCAGTGTTTACATTGAAGCATATATGAGAACAGTATTTAGATAAAGGTAGGGAAGTTTTTATTGCATTTATGGATTTAGAAAAGGCATATGATAGAGTGGATAGGGGAGCAATGTGGCAGATGTTGCAAGTATATGGAAGTAGGTGGTAAGTTATTAAATGCTGTAAAGAGTTTTTATGAGGATAGTGAGGCTCAGGTTAGGGTGTGTAGAAGAGAGGGAGACTACTTCCCGGTAAAAGTAGGTCTTAGACATTGATGTGTAATGTCACCATGGTTGTTTAATATATTTATAGATGGGGTTGTAAAGGAAGTACATGCTAGGGTGTTTGGGAGAGGGGGTGGGATTAAATTTTGGGGAATCAAATTCAAAATGGGAAATTGACACAGTTACTTTTTGCTGATGATACTGTGCTTATGGGAGATTCTAAAGAAAATTGCAAAGGTTAGTGGATGAGTTTGGGAATGTGTGTAAAGGTAGAAAGTTGAAAGTGAACATAGAAAAGAGTAAGGTGATGAGGGTGTCAAATGATTTAGATAAAGAAAAATTGGATATCAAATTGGGGAGGAGGAGTATGAAAGAAGTGAATGTTTTCAGATACTTGGGAGTTGACGTGTCGGTGGATGGATTTATGAAGGATGAGGTTAATCATAGAATTGATGAGGGAAAAAAAGGTGAGTGGTGCATTGAGGTATATGTGGAGTCAAAAAACATTATCTGTGGAGGCAAAGAAGGGAATGTATGAAAGTATAGTAGTACCAACACTCTTATATGGGTGTGAAGCTTGGGTGGTAAATGCAGCAGCAAGGAGATGGTTGGAGGCAGCGGAGATGTCCTGTTTAAGGGCAATGTGTGGTGTAAATATTATGCAGAAAATTCGGAGTGTGGAAATTAGGAAAAGGTGTGGAGAAAATAAAAGTATTAGTCAGAGGGCAGAAGAGGGGTTGTTGAGGTGGTTTGGTCATTTTTGGGGAGAATGGATCAAAGTAGAATGACATGGGAAGCATGTAAATCTATAGGGGAAGGAAGGCGGGGTAGGGGTCGTCCTCGAAGGGTTGGAGAGAGGGGGTAAAGGAGGTTTTGTGGGCAAGGGGCTTGGACTTCCAGCAAGTGTGCGTGAGCATGTAAGATAGGAGTGAATGGAAACGAATGGTACTTGGGACCTGACAATCTGTTGGAGTGTGAGCAGGGTAATATTTAGTGAAGGGATTCAGGGAAACCGGTTATTTTCATATAGTCGGACTTGAGTCCTGGAAATGGGAAGTACAGTGCCTGCACTTTAAAGGAGGGGTTTGGGATATTGGCAGTTTGGAGGGATATGTTGTGTATCTTTATATGTTTATGCTTCTAGACTGTTGTATTCTGAGCACCTCTGCAAAAACAGTGATAATGTGCGAGTGTGGTGAAAGTGTTGAATGATGATGAAAGTATTTTCTTTTTGGGGATTTTCTTTCTTTTTTGGGTCACCCTGCCTCGGTGGGAGACGGCCGACTTGTTGAAAAAAAAAAAAAAAAAATATATATATATAATTATATATATATATATATATATATATATCCTAGGTAGTAGGTTGGTAGACAGCAACCGCCCAGGGAGGTACTACCATCCTGCCAAGTGAGTGTAAAATGAAAGCCTGTAATTGTTTTACATGATGGCAGGATTGCTGGTGTCCCTTTTTCTGTCTCATAAACATGCAAGATTTCAGGTACGTCTTGCTACTTCTACTTACACTTAGGTCACACTACACATACATGTACAAGCATATATATACACACCCCTTTTGAGTTTTCTTCTATTTTCTTTCTAGTTCTTGTTCTTGTTTATTTCCTCTAACCTCCATGGGGAAGTGGAACAGAATTCTTCCTCCGTAAGCCATGCGTGTTGTAAGAGGCGACTAAAATGCTGGGAGCAAGGGGCTAGTAACCCTCTTCTCCTGTATATATTACTAAATGTAAAAGGAGAAACTTTTGTTTTTCCTTTTGGGCCACCCCACCTCGGTGGGATACGGCCGGTGTGTTGAAAGAAAGAAAGAATATATACTATACAGTGATACCTCGGGTTACGAACTTAATTCATTCCAAAAGGCTGTTTGAGTGTCGATACTGAACATATTTGCTCCCGTAAGGAATAGTGTAAATTAGATTAATCCATTTTAGACCCCCAAAAATACACTTACAAAAGCACTTACAAAAATACTTACATTATTGTTCAAGTTTGGAGTTGTTCGTATGCTGAGGTACCACTGTACATATATATATACTGTATGTAGATAGATTAATATTAAAATGTGGTGTATATGTATTTCAGAAATGTATCAACAGAAGACTACAAGAAGATAAGAGAGGGAATGATCCGGTGTATCCTGGCAACAGATATGGCTCGCCACAATGAGATTCTCTCTGACTTTCGTGAAATAATACCAGAGTTTGACATGGACAACAGAGCTCATGTGAATCTTGTAAGTCCATTTGTTCTTTGGGGAAGTGATGAGAAAAGGATTATGGATTTATTTTTTGACAACCAGAAGGGTAACAAAGTTATTACATATGCACATATGCTGTCTTGCCATAAATGAGTAGACATCATAATTCAGAAGGGGGGGGAGGTGGTTTGTCAATAGCACCCCAGGAAGATACTACCATCCCATCAAACGAGTGTGAATTGGAAATATATTAAATGCTTACTCTGCCAGAAAAAAGGGTTTCTAGTTTTATCTTTCTGTCTTAAATATGCAAGGTTACAGGTAAATCTTACAAAAACTACATGTATCCTGTATACACTACATGTGGATGTTTATATGTATACCCACTTAAAGTTTTCTTCTGTATTTCTCTTGGGTTTAATATCTCTCCCTGAATATGTATAAAAATAATTCTTTTGTCTTGATATTAAGTTCCTGTCCCAGAAACATTTCTTTCAAATTCAATAGGAAAGTGGGATAAAATCCTTATTCCATAAGCCTTGTGTCATAAAGCAAAATTAAATTCTGGAAGTGACTAGTAACCTTGTCATCTTTATTAGTCAATAAAAAGAAAGTAGATTTAATGTCACACAGTATTTTATTAATACTGTACAATGATTGAAGTTTACTCATCATAAAATATATACATACTATGTATCAAGAATTCATAAGTTCACTTGTGGGTCATGTATGACATGCAGTACTTTTGGAAAAATGATTCTGTATGATATTACTGTCAGTCCCCCAAAATTGCAGAGGCTTTTGTTCTTATGTATTTCAGAGGCCATATATCTTGAATATATTAAAAACTTTTGGCAAAGAGCTCAGTTAGAGTGAGTGTGTCAGGGCATAGTGGATGTTGGAAGAGAAATCTTCATGCTGGCCAAATAACCTGCACATAGGACACAAACTTATGATGACATTTTGATCTGAATTAGGCCATTAGTCACACACAAGCATGAAGGAAAGGGAGCCAGAATATATAGAAGAGGGGATGGGGATGAAAGGAGAATACAGGCAGGCCCTCCTTACAGCACTTCAATTTACAGCACTTTGCTAATGCTTCATTTTTTAGGCCTGCATCTATTGCTTACTTAATAGTATATGATAGTGTAAACACGTTATTTAACCCTTTCTCTGAGGTAACTGTCAGTGCCATAGTACTATGCCATGAGCTCAGCTCACTCAGATAAGCTGCGAGTGGTAAATTTGTATGATAAATGTGCACCATATAATCTTGCCACACAATGCATAATGAGAAAAAACTGACCGTGTTTTTGGATTAAAACTAACTTTATGGTGTATTTTGTATCGTTTCTATGGTTGTATTCTCAGTTTCTTGGTCTCAATTGATAGAATGGAAGATATATTACAGAAATAGAGATGATTTTGATTGGTTTCAGGATTGAAAATAGTGGAAATGTTCAATTTTTGCCAATATTCAAGAGTAGAAAAATCATGTCGCTCATCCGATACACATCCAACTCGTGGGTGTAATATGCATTTATGAATGTGCTGATAAATTTATACAGTTAATTGAGATAGATGATTGGGTGATTTCTTGTACTCAATCAATAAAATGGAAAGACATACTAGCAAAATAGCCAAGAATTTGATTGACTGGAACAATGTAATTGGCCTAAAATAGGACTCTAAAGTGGGCCAAATTGCTGACGTGTAAATATTGCTGATGCAGCAGAATTAGTGAAAACATAATTTTATCAGTTTTCCATCAATTTTCATACTTTTTGTTTAATTACTTTTAGAAAAAGATTCTCTTCCATTTCATAAGAAAAAATAACATTTTTTTGTTTTTAAATTCTTCAGCCTGGTTGACCAGGCAGATACCAGACAAGCCTGGCCCATGGCCGGGCTCAGAGAGTAGATATACTCTTGAAATTCTTCAAAGGTATATCAAAGGTATAACACTGTGGACAAGTTTCAGATTTGGGGTCTGGACAATGAAAAAGCTAAAAGTGAAAAAAAAAGGCTATGTTTCACTTTATAATGATTTTCACTTTACAGCAGCAGCCCGGAACCTGACCTACTGTATAAGTGGGGGGGCTCCTGTAGTATTAAAGATGTAGTAGAAAAACTAGTGCATCAGTGGTAGAGGTGGCAATAAGAAGGAAGTAGTGATAGTAAAAAAAGAGTCAGGGTGGAGACTTAGTGAAAAAGTGGTGGTAGTAGTAGATGTAATAATGGAAGTAGTCTAGGAACAAGAGAAAAGCAGAGCACTGCAGGAGAGTTAATGGCCCACAAAGGTAGGATCAAATCTCAGCTGGACAAAACCCCATTGGACAGAACCTACCTATGTAGAAAACAGGATTATTATTATTATTATTATAATCAAGGGGAAGCGCTAAACCCGGAGGATTATACAGCGCCTGGGGGGGGATGTGGAAGGCATTCAGGCTTAATTCGGGGAACTGGTGCACAGATCCAATTCCCTAAATCAAGAGCCCCTCACCAACATCAAGGAACCTTCCTTGAGGGGTAGAAAACAGGAAAGGCAAAGAAAATATAGAAAAGGAGAGGAGATAAAGATGAGGTAAAGTCACAAGTGTTCTGAAATTTGGGGCATTTGTCATATAATGAGAAATGGCATCTGCAGAGACAAAGCAAGGAAAGTTGCATCTTGTATAAGGGATGATTCAACAAGATGGCATCTGTGAATGCTAGAAGGGTAGACAGTTTTGGCAGAGGACTAGTTAATAGAATGACCTTGATCTTTTAACATGACAGAAGAAAGCATTATTAGTGTCAAAGCTAAATGCCCACTTTTCTAATTTACAGTACGCATATGCTTAATGGCATCGACTATATTGCATTATTTTTATGGGATCTTAAGATTTTGTAACTGTAATTTTGTAAACTTTTAATACAAAAGTTTAATGTATTTTCTTTAATTTTAATGCATGTTTACATTTATGATTTGCAGAAAAATAAATTAGAGGAAGGAGTTAAATTATGTAATGTTTAGATTGCTTAGGCTTTAATGTACACATCTACTTAAATTTTGTTTGAAGTTGTTTTAAACTTGCAGCAAGTTCGTGTTTCCAAGTCTCCTTCAGGTAGTTATTTTCTTGGAGTATTAAACCCATAGGAGGGTCAGGGTTCATCCAGTTCCCTGTGTCAAGAACACTTCAAGAAGTTACATGATTGTATATATAGATTTTGTAATAGTGTGACAATTTTTTTCTGTGTGAATAGAGCGAAAATATGCTGTATTGTCTTAGAAGAATTTAATGTAGCTTTTGGCAATAATAATCATATCTTTATTTACTACAAGTACATGTACATGGTACACAGGCCTAGCTGACATCAGTGACATACTACTGTATAGAAAGTCGCTTGTTATGCAGAGCATTTCGGGCAAATTAGGTCAGTTTTGTCCCAGGATGCGACCCACACCAGTCGACTAACTCCCAGGTACCCATTTTACTGATGGGTGAACAGACAGCAGATGGCTTATGGAAACACGTCCTTAATGTTTTCCAACCACACTGGAGGAGATTCAAACTCTGGACCTCAGTGTGCAAGCTGAGTGTACTAGTGATTGAGATATGGGCCATTTATTCAAGTTGTGTATTAATTTATGTATCATTTCATTTTCAGCTGTCCATGATTCTGATTAAAGTTGCAGACATTAGCAATGAAGCTCGACCTCTGGATATTGCTGAGCCCTGGCTGGAATGCCTCATGCAGGTAGGTGTCCTCGTTGGATATACCATTATTTTTCATGGGGCCTTGCAAGTCTTACAGCACTTGAGCAATTGGGGGGGAAGGAGATCAAACACCCTTTACCAGCATTAAAGTGAGAGCCCTTGGAGAGTCACTGTGTACACACATCTAATATGCTATGCAGGTAGGTGTCCTCATTACATCTTATATGTCATAAGTTCAAATTATTATCTAGATGACAACTTCATTTTCAACTACTGTATAAATACATATGTATTCCTGCAAAACTGAAGCATGTACGTATATAACACACTAATGCATGTGTATGATATACTATAACAAACTGAAGCCTGTATATGATGCATCATAAACATGCTTCAGTTCATATCATATACATGATTTGGTTTGTATCATATACATGTTTTAGTTCTATACATGCTTCAGTTGGATATAAACTGAAGCACATGTATGATAGGATTAGCTAATTCACTGAATTCTGTACACAAAATACACTCAACCCATATGGGTTACGAAGTACCAAGAAGCTGAAGGGGAGCTATCAGTTAAGGGAAGTAGTGCAACAGATGTGCTTACAAATCATCAAGGGAAGCTGAAGTTAGTGTAATGAATCTTTTTCAGTCAAGAAATCACATGTGCCTCTGTACTTAAAGTAGGGCTTTCTGAAAGGAGAGCAGGTACTGTGAGAGCACCAAGCAATGAAAACAGATCATAAATGAATCTTGTGTGTTTGTTGGTCAATGAAACAATGAAGCAAAAGGTGTTTGACTGTCAATAAACCTTAACAAGGTATGCAAAGTTGTGCTGGGCACTTCTCCATATGATAGCCATGTGTCAGTCTTATTTTGCCAATATGCAAGAACCATTTCCCAAGTTAACCAAGAACTCGACCATGGTTTAATCAGAAGCAAACTTGCTTGTTAACCTTGAACAATGTTGTTGCCACCAATCTCAGATACTCTTAGATAAAACTGAAAAATAGTATATCCCTACTCAAGATCGACAGGCTGCAGACTGCAGAAGAATCTGCAGATTCAAGTGCCTTGCAGACCAGAATGACTAGGACCCAGCAAAACATTGTCTTTGTTGAGATGATACAGCCAGTGATGAATGCAATGGGATGCAAGGAGTCGAAGCTCTGAATAGCTTGCATTGCACTTCACAAGTCAGAGACTGCAACAAATGAAGAAAGAAGAGCAGTGTGGATGACAGCTGCAAGAAGTGTTTATAACTGCTGTCAAAATGCTAGACAAATCTGGTGAGCATCCCTGCATTACAATATCTGAAAAATCAGCTGCATATCCTACACAATCAGAGGATTTAGTGCCTCAGGTGTACACAGTAGTAGCATGCAAGTGCATTTAATAATGGTCAAGGTAAAGAGTGCAGCTCCCTAGCAGGGATAAAAGACTTGAAAAGGGAGAGGAGGAAGAGGGACATTCAGATCGTCACTACTTCACAAGGAGGAACAAATGAACAAGATAAACAGAAAAGGGAAATTGAGAGAGGTAATTCGAGTCTGAAGACCAAGGTTTCAAGGGTGTGATAAAGGACGATGATGGAAAGCATCAACTTTACTTACGTCTGTAGGTTGTAGGGTTGTGAAAGTCATACAAGCAAACCACTTAGGAGAATAGGAGGCATTCAGATTGATCCCTTGAAGAGTGAAGCATGTACATAATGGAACAAATATATACATGGTATAGTAGAGAATAAAACTATGAAGTATGTATTGTATATGAGAAACTGAAGAATGTGATAGTATTCCAAGGGTAATGTTAATTCACAAGAAAGCTCTAAACCCAAATGCTTTATGAAGCAGTGAATCCTCAATATAATAGACTAATAGGGAGGAGGTGAGGGTGTCCATTTTATTGAAATTATAAAATTGATTTTTCACATCACCATACATTATTATTATTAGAATTGTAAATTAGCACTAAACTCACAAGGGTCATACAACTCATTAACGTACAAATGGCCACTGCAGCAATCTTGGGCCATTGAATAAGGAGCCTGTTGCTAATACGTAGATAATTCTTTAAACAACAGGCATTTATGTTGGTTCAAGACAGTACTGTACTGTACATGTACAATAATTTGTATTACCTTATGTGGTGTATTGACAAAGTATGCCATGACCTCAAATGGTGATTCAGAATAACTTAGTCTGAGAGGAGCTATAAAGCTCCTCTAATAAAACTGCAGATGATATGAGAAAGTGATGGTCAAGGAGACATACATTTACCCTTGTGTCCATGGATATTAGGCACTGTTTGCTACACCATACACCATTTATATACTGTTAAAAAAAAAAAAAAGCTAAAGTGCTAAGCTAACAAGAAGCCCGTGTGTAAATTTATATTTGCTTGATAGAACTGCGTATGGTAATATCATAGGTGAAGCTTTTCTTATGAATACAGTGGACCCCCGGTTAACGATATTTTTTCACTCCAGAAGTATGTTCAGGTGCCAGTACTGACCAAATTTGTTCCCATAAGGAATATTGTGAAGTAGATTAGTCCATTTCAGACCCCCAAACATACACGTACAAACGCACTTACATAATTGGTCGCATTCGGAGGTGATTGTTATGCGGGGGTCCACTGTACAGTGGTACCGCGGGATACAAATTTATTTCGTTCCAGAAGGTTGTTCAAGTGCCGATACTGAACGAATTTGTTCCCATAAGGAATAATGTAAATTAGATTAATCTGTTTCAGACCCCAAAAAATACACTTACAAAAGCACTTGCATAAATACACTTACATAATTGCTCGAGTTTTGAGCTGTTAGTGTCCCGAGGTACCACTACCTAGGTATGCCTTCTATGAATACCTCTAACAGGAACTAACTGAATTCTTAATACTTATACATTATCAAAAACAGTGGTTATAATAATTGGCACTTCTGTACCACAGTGTATTTACGGCCTGCTTTGCAAATCATTATTATAATCATCACTAAGTGCTCAACCCCTACTTTTCAAAATGGGTAAATTTATCAACACTCCAACCAAACAGCAATTATTAAACCTGCAAAAAAAAAAAAAAAAAGGCTTTACAGTGCTTATCTAAAAAATAATAATTTAGGAATACACCATCTCCGATACTCCAGATTTAATAAATGGGATTAAATCTGGAGTATCTGAGAGAGAGCAAAGGAAGGGATAGCAGTAATGTTGAAGGATCAATTATGGAAGGAGAAATGAGAATATGAATGTGTAAATTCAAGAATTATGTGGATTAAAGTAAAGGTTGGATGCAAAAAGTAGGTCATAATAAGCATGTATGCACCTGGAGAAGAGAGGAATATAGAGGAGAGAGAGAGATTTTGGGAGATGTTAAGTGAATGTATAGGAGCCTTTGAACCAAGTGAGAGAGTAATTGTGGCTGTGGGACCTGAATGCTAAAGTAGGAGAAACTTTTAGAGAGGGTGTGGTAGGTAAGTTTGGGGTGCCAGGTGTAAATGAAAATGGGAGCCATTTGATTGAACTTTGTATAGAAAGGGGTTTAGTTATAGGTAATACATATTTTAAGAAAAAGAGGATAAATAAGTATACAAGATATGATGTAGGGCGAAATGACAGTAGTTTGTTGGATTATGTATTGGTAGATAAAAGACTGTTGAGTAGACTTCAGGATGTACATGTTTATAGAGGGGCCACAGATATATCAGATCACTTTCTAGTTGTAGCTACATTGAGAGCAAAAGGTAGATGGGATACAAGGAGAACAGAAGCATCAGGGAAGAGAGAGGTGAAGGTTTATAAACTAAAAGAGGAGGCAGTTAGGGTAAGATATAAACAGCTATTGGAGGATAGATGGGCTAATGAGAGCATAGGCAATGGGGTCAAAGATGTATGGGGTAGGTTTAAAAATGTAGTGTTGGAGTGTTCAGCAGAAGTTTGTGGTTACAGGAAGGTGGGTGCAGGAGGGAAGAGGAGCGATTGGTGGAATGATGATGTAAAGAGAGTAGTAAGGGAGAAAAAGTTAGCATATGAGAAGTTTTTACAAAGTAGAAATGATGCAAGGAGGGAAGAGTATATGGAGAAAAAGAGAGGTTAAGAGAGTGGTGAAGCAATGTAAAAAGAGAGCAAATGAGAGAGTGGGTGAGATGTTATCAACAAATTTTTGTTGAAAATAAGAAAAAGTTTTGGAGTGAGATTAACAATTTAAGGAAGCCTAAAGAACAAATAGACTTGTCAGTAAAAAATAGGAGAGGAGAGTTATCAAATGGAGAGTTAGAGGTATTGGGAAGATGGAGGGAATATTTCGAGGAATTGTTAAATGTTGATGAAGATAGGGAAGCTGTGATTTCATGTATAGGGCAAGGAGGAATAACATCTTGTAGGAGTGAGGAAGAGCCAGTTGTGAGTGTGGGGGAAGTTCGTGAGGCAGTAGGTAAAATGAAAGGGGGTAAGGCAGCCGGGATTGATGGGATAAAGATAGAAATGTTAAAAGCAGGTGGGGATATAGTTTTGGAGTGGTTGGTGCAATTATTTAATAAATGTATGGAAGAAGGTAAGGTACCTAGGGATTGGCAGAGAGCATGCATAGTTCCTTTGTATAAAGGCAAAGGGGACAAAAGAGAGTGCAAAAATTATAGGGGGATAAGTTTGTTGAGTATACCTGGTAAAGTGTATGGTAGAGTTATTATTGATTATTATTATAATCAAAAAAGAAGCGCTAAGCCACAAGGACTATACAGCGCTGAGAGTTATTATTGAAAGAATTAAGAGTAAGACGGAGAATAGGATAGCAGATGAACAAGGAGGCTTTAGGAAAGGTAGGGGGTGTGTGGACCAGGTGTTTACAGTGAAACACGTAAGTGAACATTATTTAGATAAGGCTAAAGAGGTCTTTGTGGCATTTATGGATTTGGAAAAGGTGTATGACAGGGTGGATAGGGGGGCAATGTGGCAGGTGTATGGTGTAGGAGGTAGGTTACTGAAAGCAGTGAAGAGTTTTTACGAGGATAGTGAGGCTCAAGTTAGAGTATGTAGGAAAGAGAGAAATTATTTCCCAGTAAAAGTAGGCCTTAGACAAGGATGTGTGATGTCACCGTGGTTGTTTAATATATTTATAGATGGGGTTGTAAGAGAAGTAAATGTGAGGGTCTTGGCAAGAGGCATGGAGTTAAAAGATAAAGAATCACACACAAAGTGGGAGTTGTCACAGTTGCTCTTTGCTGATGACACTGTGCTCTTGGGAGATTCTGAAGAGAAGTTGCAGCAGAGATTGGTGGACGAATTTGGTAGGGTATGCAAAAGAAGAAAATTAAAAGTGAATACAGGAAAGAGTAAGGTTATGAGGATAACAATAAGATTAGGTGATGAAAGATTGGAGGGAGGAGGTGAATGTATTCAGATATTTGGGAGTGGACGTGTCAGCGGATGGGTCTATGAAAGATGAAGTGAATCATAGAATTGATGAGGGGAAAAGGGTGAGTGGTGCACTTAGGAGTCTGTGGAGGCAAAGAGGGGAATGTATGAGAGTATAGTTTTACCAACTCTCTTATATGGGTGTGAAGCATGGGTGATGAATGTTGCAGCGAGGAGAAGGCTGGAGGCAGTGGAGATGTCATGTCTGAGGGCAATGTGTGGTGTGAATATAATGCAGAGAATTCGTAGTTTGGAAGTTAGGAGGAGGTGCAGGATTACCAAAACTGTTGTCCAGAGGGCTGAGGAAGGGTTGTTGAGGTGGTTCGGACATGTAGAGAGAATGGAGCGAAACAGAATGACTTCAAGAGTGTATCAGTCTGTAGTGGAAGGAAGGCGGGGTAGGGGTCGGCCTAGGAAAGGTTGGAGGGAGGGGGTAAAGGTGGTTTTGTGTGCGAGGGGCTTGGACTTCCAGTAGGCATGCGTGAGCGTGTTTGATAGGAGTGAATGGAGACAAGTGGTTTTTAATACTTGACATGCTGTTGGAGTGTGAGCAAAGTAACATTTATGAAGGGGTTCAGGGAAACCGGCAGGCCGGACTTGAGTCCTGGAGATGGGAAGTACAGTGCCTGCACTCTGAAGGAGGGGTGTTAATGTTGCAGTTTAAGAACTGTAGTGTAAAGCACCCTTCTGGCAAGACAGTGATGGAGTGAATGATGGTGAAAGTTTTTCTTTTTCGGGCCACCCTGCCTTGGTGGGAATCGGCCAGTGTGATAATAATAAAACCTACCATCCGACTTACGACCGGTTTCTCGGAACCGAACTCGGTCGTAAGTCAAACTTTACTACTGAATATCAACAAAACATTTTTGTAATGACTATTTTATTGTTTTATTTTGGTATTTCATGTTTTACTTTACTTTTTATGTTATTAGTACTGTATTTTATACTGTAAGGTTTAGGATAAACACTGTGTACAACACAAATAGTTGTTTATTTCCCAGAAATTTGGCATAAAAAACACGGTCGTAAGTCGGATGGTAGGTGTACTATGTACCTTTTTCTTATTAAAATTTTACTTGTATAATTGAACTCGATGATTTTTACAGGAATTTTTCAACCAGAGTGACTTAGAAAAGCTGGAGGGCCTTCCAGTATCGCCCTTCATGGATCGGGAGAAGGTGACAAAGCCCTCCTCACAGTGCTCCTTTATTGGCTTTGTCCTTTTACCACTTTTTGAGGCACTTGGAAAAGTCCTGCCCGAGTTAGATGTAAGACATTTTTGCTATTGTTTTCACACTCACTCTTTTTCTTTCACCAGTAATTCTTATTGCCTCGTGTCTCTTTGTAGAGTTTAAAAGATGAAATGTGTCCCTTTTACTGTCTTTTATAAAATTTAATTGCAGATAAAGTGGTTAATTAGAGAATATTTGCTTATATAATTTTGTAAACTTCATCAGATATTAACTTTTGATCAGAGAATACTTTTCTAAACATAGTAATTATACAACCTTTATTTCTCAGGAGTTGATCATTCAGCCAGTGAAGTATGCTCTGGATCACTACCGAAGACTCAATGAAGCATCAAAAAAAGCTTCAGAAGAGTCTGAAACCATTCAGTTGCCAGAGGAAGAACAACAGCCAGAAACACCAAACAGCCAATTATCTCAAGATAATGCCAAAACTGTTGTACAAAAGACTGAAAGTTTTCATAGCTTGGGAAGTCGAGCATCATCACGAGCCTCATTTTATCGCTACAATACTATTGACTGTGGAGATGTTGAATTAGAAGATACCAACCTGACAGAGACTGAAGTTGACGTGAGTGAAAGAACATCAAGAATCAAAATTGCTACTGATCTACACAAATCGCCATCAAGAAGGAACAGCTCTGAACGCCGCAGCAGTGTGGGTGGAAGATCAAACTGCGAGAGAACCATCTCACCCAGAGCCCTTGAAGATCGTCTCTTGCCTCATGTAGAAGCCAAAGTTGAATATGAAGATAGCGAATCACTACATGAAAAGTACGAAAAAGAATCTTCTATATTTTCTCGACTAAAAATTTTCTCGGAACGTCTGTCAAGTGATAGGGATAAAAATCTTAATGGTTCAGCTCCTTTTGGAAGGGGGAGCACAAGGCATAAACAAGGGGGTTTGCAGGGTGTGCTCAAACGAACTAGAAGCAAGTCGGAGCCTGCTAAAGACCGACCTCACAGAACGTTTCACATAACTCGGCCCAGAATTAGTTTTGGAATAAATACCCAAAAGCCACAGAGTGAGGAAAATATGTTGAATGAACACGATAGAGAGATGGCAAACGACAAATGTAAAGATATTGTTTCTGACGAAATTCCTAAGACTGGTGAAATCAAAACTTCTACCTCTTTTGAACTTTTAGAACCAAAGAAAAAACTGTGTGTATTTAAAGATGCTCAACCATCACCAACACTGTCAGAAAAGTGTGTGTTATCCTCAAACTCAATCCTTAGAAATAAAAGGTTCAGTCTTTCTTTAGATGTACTCCCACGGAAAAATGGGCGCTCTCGTAGGTCTGCTGGTGTTAAAATTCAAACTCCTGAGAACACTCCGGGTGGTTCAGAAGATGACCTTTTAAGGGAGGCGAAAACACCCCAAGTGGATGGAGCTACTAGACACAATCAACCTCAATCAGTGCTCAACAAAACCAAACACATTAGACCAGATGAGAAGTTATCCCATGTTTATCGAGATTCTCCTAAGAACTTGAAGAAGCAGCCCGAGTCTGCCAGGTATTTGTTATTCAAGTCATTCTCATTTAGAAAGAAGTCTCCAGTTCAAGGTGATGAGATAAAGCACAAAGATAGTGACTCGCACAGTCCCACTGTGGAGAAATTATGACACGTGGGGATATGCTCATGCATCTAAACTGTAAGGAATGCATTTTGGCCACTGTAAACTTGCATCCAGACCATATCAAATTAGGTAATGTCTGGTGTCTTTCACAGTAACACATTGTGTACATTGGCCTCAACTCCTGAAGCATTTTTTTTTTTTTTTTAAGCAAATAAAAATGGATCAGTCATAACAAAATTCTGCAATTCCTGCAAGCGCACAGAGCAGGTTGCCCTTTCCTTTTTTTCCTAGCAGGTAGAGGAAACAGCATGAGCTGGGTTAGTCATCCAGACCTCAGGAACAATAACTATTCAGGTAACATTAAGAAACTGAAAAATATGGTTCACTCGTGTTTGTAAATTAGTTCTGTTGCATTTCTTTTGAACATAAAATGAAGCCTGTGTATTTGACACAAATACCTGACTATTATTGCATGTACACATGTGGATAATATCTGGGATTTCTTAGGGCATATTTCATCTTTTGTATGCATTGGACTATATTTTCCATACATATCAAATTACCTCCAAGATACTTGCCCTATATAGGAGTCCTAGAGAATCCTATACCTGAGCTGGGTATTTAACAATGATGCCAAAGTATAAGTGTACCATCTTGCTGGGGATACTGTGCCATAAGTACTGTAGGTAAGATAAATGCCATGTAATGTATGTGCCAAAAGTCTCATAACTACCTATTAAATATCAGTATTTTTCCAAACTTTTGGATATCTGTGTATATATAATTCTAAAAGAAATATAATTGATTCTGAATAAGATATTTATAATTAGTTATTACAAGAATTCAATGAAAAAATGTTTGTATGTCTAGGATGTTATAGTATGTTTGTATTCATATTGAAAAATATAGACTAATATTTTTATTAAAGTACAGTATACTATGTACATAAACAGGTGTAGTAGTTTTCCAGTTTTGTATGCATTTATTTTTTGTACAAAGATAGATTAAAGGGGACTTTCTTGTCTGTGTTGGGGAAAGGAAACCACAGGATTTTTGTGTAAAATTGTTAGATGCTTGTAAAGTAGAGGAAGAGGGAGAAAAGAAAAATGTTGCGTTTGTGTACTGTGAAAAACTGAAGCTACAGATCTGTATGCTTGGAAGTTATTTCTAAAATGATTAAAGAAACAACCTCTAAAAAGCTACCCCATTTTGGTTCACTTGTTGCCTCATTCGTGCCAATTGCATTCTTCTTGTGCCGGAATCTTGTGTCTTTCTTTAAAATAAAAAACATGATGAGAGTGGGGGCCAAAAAGTAAAAGTATCAACTTTTATTAATTGATTGTCCCCGTTTTTTGGATTGCATTTTTTAACAAAATTTTAATATTGAAAATATTTTGGCCCCTTTTCATAATTCGAGATTTGTTATGCGTTAGTTGCTTAAAATTGGAATGTAACCTGTTATTTATAGATGATGGTGAAACTTAATGCCTGTGCTTGTCACCTTGTTGATCTTTCCATATCCTTAAAGGAATCACTGGTTGTCTTTTAACTTCTTTTTAATTTATATAACTTATATAAAAATTGTACAAAATGAATTTTATAGATGTAAGATATATAAACTGTTTGATAGGGCTGTATGAAAAGGATGTCAGTTTCCTAAAAGTTTTAAGTGTTTAGTGGTGATATCAATGTGATAAAATTATTGGAAAATATTCAGCAGTTTAAGATTTAATAAACTTGCTAAGTGAATGAAATGTGTGTGTGTGTGTTTAGCTAGAGATTTCTTAAATGTTATGAAAATGAATAGGTTTTATGAACAAAGCTAGATAGAATGCAGAATTAGAGCTACCATGACCTTTATAAAGTTTAGGATGTATCCTGTGGTAGCCTACCATAACATGAAATATAGTACTGAGCCCTTGGGAAATATTTAGCACTTCCTTAAGACCATACAAACTCATTATATTAATTCATGTGACTTCTAGCAGTCAGGTTAAAAGCTACTTGGCTGACAGAGCAGGTTCTCTATATTTTTAGTCCATGAAGTATTATAGTGACAATAATTCAGAATTTTACCAATAAAAGATTAGTTACTGCAAGACATTTTATTAAAAAATTATAATGAAATTGTGTATATTAAATGGCAAGTATGGTCTTAACTAGTGCTGTCCTAGCAAGAAGTTAAGCCTCCATATTCCTGTATGACCAAATGTACCCTTAAATGATGTACAGATGTGTAAACAAATATAATTTATGTTTTCTTATTCCTTATGTTTTAAACCTCAACTGACTACCTTTTTGCTATCAAGTAGTGACTACTAAATGGCTCAAAGCTTTAACAGTTTAGTGGAGGAAACTATTCTGATTTAAAAAATACAGTATAAGTGAAACTTGTTCTGATCAGAAAACAGGACAATGATGCAAATAAACATGAAATGTGCAGTACTCTCTACGTAATATTAATTATTTTTATTGATACCCTTCTCCATCACCACTCATGACCCTGCCATTCCCACACTTCTATCACATTCTCTCCACCATTAATAATACAGTATCATCAGTTGCAAGGGAACACTGCATACTTTTTAGAAAGCATTTACATTGGCAAGATTCCAGAGGCCTTAAAAATGGCACACACAGCTACTTCAGAGGAGGTAGTACATGGTTGAAAAGTAAATTTACTGCCCAGTCACTGACATCACTTATTGATTCGCCATGAATATAATAGTATATGATAACCGTAATCCAAGAGGCCAAAAAGGCAAATTACCCGTGTTATGGATAGTAAGATTCTACAACCCAGGATAATAGGCTTTAGAGGAAGAGACTGTGTATGACAGCTAGTGAAGCTATAAACAAAATGTGCCAACATAAAGACTGCAAACAATTTGACAAATGCAATCATGTAGGTAGGGCCCTCAAAATTTGTAACAAGCAAAGTACGTATAGGAATGGGTATTAAAATCTCTAATGAACAGTCTTCAAATAGGAAAAACTAAATCCAGTCTAAGCAGAATATAAAGTACAGTATTGCAAGACAAAGTCTTGATACCTTTACTGTTCCCATTACAATGGCAAACAATGATTTCTGTCAATTGCCTTACCATTTAGATTGCTATATTCTTGGGCAAGCATTAAATCTGTAGGGGTCATGCAGTGCCTGGGGAATTCAAGGAAATCAGGTTTCATTCAAGGAAGGGAAGTGTGGCTCAAATTCTATAGATTAACAGCTGTTCACCAACATACTACTACAGAAAGCATTAAAAATATAAAGCAACGGCCATGGAGATGGCATGTGAATGGCACTGTTCAAAACATTGTGCTCACAGCCAGTTTCAAAGCAGGAGACACATATGAGCTGGAAAATGTAAAATTACTTACTGCCCATGCAGAATCAATGAAACCATTAAACTACCAGGAATAACTTCAAAGTACTTAGAATGTGCTCTGGAATGGAGAAGAGATGCCCACTGTATATAATCACATTGCCATAACTTCCTGGAGAGAGATACAAAAATTTAGAACAGGCAGGGAACCTGTGGTCTTCTAGGGCATTTAAGTGTGGCCTTCTGAATGAATTATTTTTCTTGAAGTTATTATACGATTAACATTTTACAAAATAACCAACATTTTGCAGTATATTTCTTGAATGAAGCCTTGTTAGATTACAGCTAACTTTAGTGCAGCCTTCCATCATAACAGGTTCTCCACCCCTGGTTTAGAATATATCCACTGACAAGAAGAGGGAAAATTAGCACAATTAAGAAAACTGTCAACATCTATGGTTAGCAGATTCTCAAACCTTTACCAGTAAGAACAGTATATCCTAAGAAATATTGCTGAAACAAAGGGAGAAGGCTAAGATGAAACTAGAAAAGTTTCTGCAGGTGGTGCCAGATCAACTGGGTTGTGATTACTAAAGCCTGTGTGCCATGAGTAGCAACAGTCCAATGGTGAACATGGATCTAGCCTCAGGCTGTTCTGCAGTTCTGTAGTAAATATCCTCTCAAAACTGATCACAAGCAAAACTATGAAAGAGTGACACACACATTTTATAAGCAACTTCCATGGTTATACTTGGGGATGACCTGGCATGGCATGGGCAGCTCACACTATGGCATCACAATTTTTTCTTTTTAATACTGGCCATCTCCCACCATGAAATAGTGACCTAAAATTGGAAACACAACCACTACCATTCATACAATAGATATCCTGCCAGAAGTGTGCATACATCACAATTCAAATGATCCTGTAAACTTTAACATCCCCCCCACAACCTTTATACTGTAGACAATGTACTTCCCATCTCCTGGATTATCACTTCATAAATGTCACCTTGTTCACACTCCAACAGATTGTCAAGCTACGTATAAAAACTACTTGTCTTCACTCATGCGTATCCAACACACTAGCACAAGCATACTGGATGTTCAAACCCCTAGCACTCAAGACCTACTAAAATCTCTCCCTCCAACCCATAAGGGGATGACCTCCCTCCTCCCCTTCAGTTCATACTAAATTTATATGCCAATTTCATCATCCAATTTTGCTCCACCCTCTCTACATTCCCAAACACCTCACTTCTTCATCCCTCTGAATTAACTTTGATAACCCCACCCCATCTTCAAAGAAATATGACTTAATCGTGGTATGTACTGTAAATTAACTGAGCAAATTAAGGCAAGAATTCAAGTAAAATGGAATCACATGGCAAAACAAAAACGTGAATAAAGTCTGAGAACAAGTCGGACAACAATGCAACAAAGAAGTGTTGACTACAGTATATCCAAGATAGAGGACAGTTAGGCAGGGGTACTCAAAATGAACTAAGGAATGAAATAGATGAGGTAATAGAAAGGACCACCAAGTATAAACACTAAAAGGGCAATTGCAAATACAATAATATTTAGCATAGTATGGTTTTGAACATTATGGGTTTTGGGAAAACATGGTTTATAAACTTAATAATATAAATTAATAGTATAAAGGAGGGGTGTTAATGTTGCAGTTTTATAACTGTAAAGCATCCCTCTGTCAAGACAGTGATGGAGTGAATGATGAAAGTTTTTCTTTTTTGGGCCACCCTGCCTTGGTGGGAATCGACCGTTGAGTTAATAAAATAAAAAAAAAATTTATTTAACTGCATTACGCACCAATATTGGACTGCTGCTATGTACATACTGGACTAGTGCAATGTGAACATCAGTATTACTGCAGACTCTGAGCAGTAAAGTTGAGTAGTCTTATACAGTACACATGTACTATACACAATTTTTTCCTTTATTATATAAAGTATTTGTACCCCTTTTATATGCAAATATGAGTGGAAAGAGGAAATGCAATAGTGCTGAGCATTCTAGTAAATGTATATGGTTAATATTAGATGAAAAACTACAAATTATAAAACAACATGAAGGTGGTGCATCGTATGCTTAAATAGAACATGACAAGAAAATGAACGAAGCATAGGTACGTGTGCATATAAGGAATAAAGATAAAATAAAGAGACATGAAATAGCAACAGCATCTTATGTGGTCAAAAGTGATTGTTAAAAACGTAGTTCTTCAATGGATAATTTGGAATGTCTTAATGTAATGGACTAAAGACTGCAGCCAGAAAAGAATTCCATTAAGTTAGATGACAATTCAAGCTAAAGAAACATGTCTCTGTTCAATGTCAAAAAAAGAAAATGGCAATGAAGGGGAAAGTTTTTTGGCAAGCCGTGGCTGGTTAAACAATTTTAAAAAGTGTATGGGACTCTATAATGTTTGAACTACTGGTCAAAGTGCCAGTCCAAATTAAGTAGCTGCAAAATTTCCTAATGATTTAAAAAAAAATGAAGAAAATGGCTACATAGATGACCAAATTTTTAACATAGATGGAACGGGTTTGCTTTAGAAGATGATGCTGTCACGCACTGCGTCAGTGCATTGTTCCAATGATTTTGCCAGTTTTGAATCCC